AAGAAGTATAGCAGCCCAGAGTCAAGGGATGAACGAAAGCAGCACTGATCTCATTACTGTTGTTGAAAGCTATTTTTACACATTTCACAGCTCCAGAAATATCTTGCTATTTACTTGGATGCTTGTCATTTTTGAAGAAAAAAACCTTGGAGCTGTGTTCTACAGTGTGTGGTTTTTGGATCAACCATCACTGAATCACCTGGGGTGATTTTTATAAGTACAGATTCCAACACCCCTTTCCAAGGAACTCTGAGTCAGTGGGTCTGGAATGGGCCCAGAAATCTGGAATTTTATCATGCAACTTAAGTAATGGCCTTAGAGATAACAATCTATCACGCTTCTTCACATGATGCCATTTAAACCTAAAGAGACTAACTTAATTACCTGAGCCAATTAGTAGCAGAGCAAAAATGAAACTCCATAACCGCAACCTCCCAATCCAATCTTCTTTGCAGTAAATGAGCTTTCTCTTTAATAACTCCTCAACATACCATGTAATAGTGACCTCTATCCATTGTCTGTTCACTCCCTCCAGAGTGAACACCAAAGTACATTAGTAAAACTATGTATAAGTTAGAGGCAAGAAAACAGTTCCTACGTTGAGGGTGAGGTAGGTCAACTTTATTTTTTATTCTATTCATGTTATTAAGTTATTTAGGCAAAAGATTCACAGTTTAAAATAAAAATAATTAAGCTATGTTGCACTAAATTAGATCCAACACAAATTAAGACACAGAGGTTCAATCTAACAAATCTTACATCTTTATGATAGATTTTTCCTGTCATCTTTGAAAAATAAACAAGATCACTTTGTGTGTATTTGGCATGGAGGGGTTGTGCGAAACTTTCAGAAGTTTCATCCAACTATTTTATTATCATTTCATACATTTTGGAAAACACAAATCTTACATCTTTATGATAGATTTTTCCTGTCATCTTTGAAAAATAAACAAGATCACTTTGTGTGTATTTGGCATGGAGGGGTTGTACGAAACTTTCAGAAGTTTCATCCAACTATTTTATTATCATTTCATACATTTTGGAAAACACAGGTTGATGCCCCCGCTAGTGTAAAGCCCTCTGCATTCAGGAGAAAGACTCCTTACTTAGCACATCACCAGGTTCTTCACACAACCTACTCCACCATGTGAGAAAGCCAAATGGGCAACGTTCCTCTGAGGGAAAGGGCGTATATCAGAATGTAAGAACAGATGAAACTAGAACGGAATGTCAGGGCCTGAATGTAGAGGGTCTTTCTTATCTTATGCACCCAGTCTCAATCCAGCTGGTGTTTTAAGACTTGACTCAAGACCAAGTCCCTTAAAACTTGGCTCGATATGATATGATGCAATTAAACACATACACACACACACATGCACACCCACACTAACAACAACATGCTATGCACTTTTTAAGGGTACACATAGAGTTATGTTCATGCATGGAAAGGGAAAGGTGAGAAGGGTCTAGCCTTAATGCTTTAAATTTTAATAATATATTCATAACTTGTATATGTAGAAGTGTTTCTAATTCCCAGACTTTGTTAGATGCCCCTTTTTCTGCACCTCTCTGTAACTCCTACACAATCTAACACAGTACTGAACTCACCAGCCATCATAAATGCTGGTTTTGTCTGACTTTTCCTCCTAGAATTTAAGATTTGTGTCTTCCTTCTCAGTAAACACATCATTTTTTAGAGTGTCTAACATGGTATACAATGTCTATTGAATGCACACTCTAAAACTCCTAAACAACTAAATTATTCAAGGAAAGAATTCTTAGGCGACAGCAGTCCCCCATTATCCACAGTCTCACTTTCTGTGGTTTCAGTTACCTGAGGTGAACCTCGGTCTGATAATATTAAATGGAAAATTCCAGAAATAAGCAATTCCTAAGTTTTAAATTGTACACTGTTCTGAGCAGAATAATGAAATCTCTCCCACCCAGGACGTGAATTATCCCTTTGTCCAGGATCCACACTGTACCCACTACCCACCCGGAAGTCAGGTAGTCATTTAGTAGCCGTCTTGGTTATCAGATCAACTATCATAGCTTTGCATGTGTTCAAGTCACCCTTATTTTACTGAATAGTGGCCTCAAAGAGCAAGAGTGAGCAGTGATACTGGCATATAGTTATAACTGTTCTATTTTATTATGATTTATTGTTGTTAATCTCTTACTGCACCTAATTTATATATTAAACTAAATCAAAGGTATAGGAAAAAAACAGTATTTATAGGATTCAGTACTATTCATGGTTTCAGGCATCTGCGGGGGATCTTGAAATGTACCCAGAAGATAAGGGAGGACAACTATATTTGTAAAAGGTCACAAGTCAGAAAATTTATTTTCAATCTAGACTTTTAAAAGACAATTTGGTATAGCAGTTAAGAAGCTAGGCTTAGAGTTATACAGTTCTGGTTTCAAAATAAACTCTGCATGATGACTATAATCCCTAGACAAATTACTTAATGCTCTTTTTCCTCATCTATAAAACACAGATGGAAATATCTTCCTTCTAAATTTGTGGGGAAAATTAAAAGAGGATGTGTACAAATTAATTAGCATAATACCTGATACTCAACAAATGGTAATTATTATCATGCTTTTCACATTCAATTACTAATACCGAAGCAATAATTTCATGGAATTTTTTGCTAATAAGAAAGTATTAATAAAACTTTTAAAATAATCTATCCTACTTCTAGATACAACATAGCTAATGTGAGCAATGAAACTAATAATTTAAAGTCCATCAGGTCTGTGCAAGTAAAAAAATACCTCAACTAATCTGGCAGAGTAGCTTCCATACTGATCCACACAAATTATGCATTTTTAACCTCCGTTTCAGTAAGAAAAGTTTTAATCATCTTACTTCACAGACTGAAAATGTTCACATTCAGTTAGTCCACATTATTAAGCTATACATCACTATTCTTCTTGAAGAATATGCTAACTATCCAAGTTATTAATATGCTGACAGTGCTCAACGATGTCTTCCACAGTTAATTGGCTAAGAAATCTTGTCCAAAAAAAGGTAATGAATAAGTTCACATTGAAGTGCACAGGAAACCTTGGATAGAGATCTGTGGTTGATTTTTTTGAAACTACTGTTTGTTTTGAATTGCTATCTCTAATTTTTGTTATGAAAATAGTATTGATATTTCGCCTTACCATAACCGATTATGATGTATCATAAAACGAGTTCATTTTAGGTCAGAAATCCAAAGTGTGCTAATTCCACAAATAATTATTAAGCATCTAATATATTCTAGGCTGAAAGGTGAAAAAATAAAGTTATTTCCAAAATGGGGTAAAGAAAGAATTTTCTTTTTTTTTTCTTCCAAATTTTATTTTATTTTGTCAGTACACAATGTGGTTAATTATTGTGGCCAATTCCCGAAACCTCCCTCCCTCCCCCATCTCCCTCCCAACAATGTCCTTTCCGTTCACTTGTCATATCAACTTCAAGGAATTGTAATTGTTGTGTCTTCTTCCCCCCTCCCCCACGGTTTTTTTGTGTATTTATTTATTTTTAGCTCCCACAAGTAAGTGAGAACACGTGATATTTCTCTTTCTGTGCCTGACTTGTTTCACTT